CGCTGAGGCAGCCGCTCATGGAGACGCTGCACGACCTGCCGGGCCCCACGGCCACACGCAAGGTGCACTACAATACAGGGACGTGCGGTCAGGGGAGGCAGGGGAGGCAGGGGAGGCACAGCCTCACCTGCCATACTCCAATGAAAACACTGGTCAACTTTTGCAGCTGTTTTATACTAATTTCAGGGTGCTGATTCCAAATCTGATCTCAGATTTGCTCTATCACATCTCATTTTTATGCTATCGGCATACCCCATTTTCATTGATTTTACCCGAAATTAACTCTGTCACTTATGATTGCAAGTTGTTGCGAGTCAGTGACTGCTTTAGTGTTAAAATATGGTGCTGTATTTTTATGATAGTGTGTTTATAATATCATTTTATGTAGATATCCACATTTATTTAATATTTTTCTTCTGCAGTTTTTATTGAAAATGCAATATTTGATATCTCAAAAATCTGATGTGATAGACAAAAATGCCATATTTGGAATCAGCACCCCAAAATTACCTTAAAACCGTTGGAAAACCTTATGCCAGAAAAAGTGTGTTGACCAGTGTTATGAATAATATTGGTCGCGAAAGTTTACGTGTTAAACTGACTAACTGGCTCTGACACTAGCCAGTGCCTCCCCAGCCATTGATCTCACCGCACATCACTGCTACAACACACTGTCCACTATGCTACACACTACGCTATACACTACACTCTACACTACATTACACTATACACTACATTACACTACACAATATACGCGTCACTATACACTACTCTAAACTACACTATACACTACACTACTATACACTACACCAAACACTAGACACTAAACTACACTATACACTACGATACACTACACTATACACTACACTATACACTACGATACACTACACTATACACTACACTACTATACACTATGATACACTACACTATACACTACTATACACTACGATACACTACACTATACACTACACTATACACTACACACTACACTATACACTACACACTACACTATACACTACACACTACACTATACACTACACTATACACTACACTATACACTACTATACACTAAGATACACTACACTATACACTACGATACACTACACTATACACTACATTACGCTGAGGCATCCACTCATGGAGACGCTGCACGACCTGCCGGGCCCCACGTCCACACGCAAGTTATAGAGTGGGGGGGGGGCAGTGTCTCCTCCGCCAGGTGGTTGGCTGCTCTAAATTCCCACTGGTGACGATTATCTGAACCGGTCCTGGGCCTCCCCTAGGTCGACTCAGCCCCAACCAGTAGCTGGTGCGGTGCGAGGGAAGAAGCAGAGAGAGAGAGAAGCGAGGTGTTGACCTGCAGTGGTTGAGTGCGTGAGCGAGTGGCGAGTCGTCGCTTAGTCGTCGCGTGGTGCTCGTTGGCGCACTGTGATGTCACTCGAGTTCGATTTCTGCTCACGGCCAACAACAGTTGCAAACATTTGAGCCGGTTCTGGGTCTCCCCTTGATCAACTCAGCACTGGGGAGACAAAGGCGGCCGGGCGTGGTGCTGGCCACCCACCCCCTCTTGTGCCGTGCCGGCCTTCATATACGCCGATCGTGAACAGCACTTGCCCCAACAGTCTGTTAAGGCTACACGGTGGTGGGGGGGGGGGGGGGGGGGTCTTTGCCTTTGAATCAGAATCTTTATTTAGACTGGCAGAATCCGGTGAGCTAGAAAGCTCTTTTTCACCGACGTCCTCAACAGTGCGTACGGCATTTGCCTGCCCCAACAGTCTGTTCAAGGCTACACGGCGGCGCGGTTTCTGTGTGTTTTCGTCCTCAGAGCTACGCGCTGCTCGAAGCCGGGCACCCCAACCGCTCCTTCCACGGCGACAGCGAGGACGAAGAGGATGACGAGGGGGTCCGGGAGACGAGCGGCAAGCCCATCTAGCGCGGCACGGCGGGGCCCCTGAGCCCCGATGCCTGAACTCTTGAACGACGCTTGAACTCTCGAACCCTTAGGTGCCGTCCACACGCCACGAGCAAACGGTGGGCGACACGGTGGCTAGGAGATGTTAATTACCTCGCCTCGTATACAGGAGGATAGTGGGTTGGATCCCGACCCTGACGCATGCTGCCTATTCAAAATTCGCGTGTCTCTCTCTCTCTCTCCCCGTGGTCGCGTGGAATTTTCTCCGGGCCCTGCGGTTTTTCCCTCCACATTTAGAATGGACGTCAGTATTTGGCTGCTATGAATTTCCACGCGACGGTGAGCCACTTAGTCGAGCTCTGATTTGTGGCGAGGTCGCTTCTGAAACAGTGCTAACGTCGCTCAGTCGGCCTTAAACTTGTCAAATAAAACAAAGTTTGTAGTTTTGTAGTTGACTGGTGTGTCGTAGTTTTCACGATGCCCATGGATTTGCGTAAATCCTCGAGATTCGTAGAGCCCAGGGGACAAGGCATCTTTGGATTTTCTTGGCCTGTTACTCTCAAGTCGACATTCGGGCTCCGGCTCCGGCTTGAGCCACTGCCGCTCCCCTCAGTAGCTTCCAAAGCCACGGCTCGCGATGCGTCTCAGCCGAGGCGCAAGCTGTTGATGATACTCAGGACTCGTCTTTGTTCGATGCTTAGCCAAAGGCCGCTGCAGCAGCGGGGATGAACCGGGAGTTTTGCGATGGGAGCGACGCAATCGTACTTGCATGTTGAACTTCTTTCGCGCCGTACGTAGCCTACCTATGCAAAGTGACTGAGGCCTTGGGTGCCACGGTGGCCAGGAGATGTTTACTACCTCGCTCGGTATACAGGTCGTGGGTTCGATCCCGACTGGCGCCTGATGTATATTTGGAGTTTGCGGTGTCTTGCTCTCTCCCCGTGGTTGCGTGGTTTTTCCCCCCCTCCACTTAACTAAGCTATCGTTTTTTAAAAAAAGAGAGCTACATGGCTCGGTGGGCCTTTACCCGGTAAAAAAAAAAATAGTTTTGCATGTATCGAACCCATGGCTATGCTGCTGGTAATATGCACAGCCAGTGAGGCTCGTGCGGTCGATGGGATGAACATTAATCTACTTTTGTTGGGAGAGGCAAATATATTGGTAAATCGTGGGCGGGCGGTGTCGGACGATTTCGACAGACTCCAAATCTAAATGCTGTGACGTTTTCCTTTTGTTCACTTCCGCACAACAGACAACATCTTTGTCAACAACAACCAAAGAGAAAGGCTTTTATTGATAAATATAAAAAAGTGCCATGCACAGTCCGCTCGCGTGAACGCTTGTGAGCGAAATAAAGTCGCCGCGCTTCGCTGTGATGATTACCCCGGCGATTTCAGACTCTCTTTGTCCATGCTGGACAGCCCTCACTCAGAGACGCAGAACAATCACCCTCCGCCTACTCCACCTCCATCCTCATATTCCCTCCCTCATCCTCCTTCCCTCTTTCCTCCCTCATCCTCCTTTCCTCCTTCCCTCCCCCCCCGCTCTCCACCACACAGTCCGGGTTTGGAACTCGCTTCTGTCCATCTGTCCTCGTGTGGCCCAACTCTGGCCAGCAACGATTTTGCATCTCACTGGGCGGTGGTTTGGGGGTGACGGCGGTGGATTGGAGGTCAGGGCGGTGGATTGGAGGTCAGGGCGGTGGATTGGAGGTCAGGGCAGTGTATTGGAGGTCAGGGCGGTGTATTGGAGGTCAGGGCGGTGTATTGGAGGTCAGGGCGGTGGATTGGAGGTCAGGGCGGTGGATTGGAGGTCAGGGCAGTGTATTGGAGGTCAGGGTGGTGTATTGGAGGTCAGGGCGGTGTATTGGAGGTCAGGGCGGTGTATTGGAGGTCAGGGCGGTGGATTGGAGGTCAGGGCGGTGGATTGGAGGTCAGGGCGGTGGATTGGAGGTCAGGGCGGTGGATTGGAGGTCAGGGCGGTGGATTGGAGGTCAGGGCAGTGTATTGGAGGTCAGGGCGGTGTATTGGAGGTCAGGGCGGTGTATTGGAGGTCAGGGCGGTGTATTGGAGGTCAGGGCGGTGGATTGGAGGTCAGGGCGGTGGATTGGAGGTCAAGGCGGTGGATTGGAGGTCACGGCGGTGGATTGGAGGTCAGGGCGGTGGATTGGAGGTCAGGGCGGTGGATTGGAGGTCACGGCGGTGGATTGGAGGTCAGGGCGGTGGATTGGAGGTCACGGCGGTGGATTGGAGGTCAGGGCGGTGGATTGGAGGTCATGGCGATGGATTGGAGGTCACGGCGATGGATTGGAGGTCACGGCGGTGGATTGGAGGTCACGGCGGTGGATTGGAGGTCAGGGCGGTGGATTGGAGGTCACGGCGATGGATTGGAGGTCACGGCGATGGATTGGAGGTCACGGCGGTGGATTGGAGGTCACGGCGGTGGATTGGAGGTCACGGCGATGGATTGGAGGTCACGGCGGTGGATTGGAGGTCACGGCGATGGATTGGAGGTCAGGGCCGTGGATTGGAGGTCAGGGCCGTGGATTGGAGGTCACGGCGGTGGATTGGAGGTCACGGCGGTGGATTGGAGGTCACTGCGGTGGATTGGAGGTCACGGCGATGGATTGGAGGTCACAGCGGTGGATTGGAGGTCACAGCGGTGTATTGGAGGTCAGGGCGGTGGATTGGAGGTCAGGGCGGTGGATTGGAGGTCAGGGCGGTGGATTGGAGGTCAGGGCGGTGGATTGGAGGTCACGGCGGTGGATTGGAGGTCACGGCGGTGGATTGGAGGTCACGGCGGTGGATTGGAGGTCACGGCGGTGGATTGGAGGTCACGGCGATGGATTGGAGGTCAGGGCCGTGGATTGGAGGTCACGGCGGTGGATTGGAGGTCACTGCGGTGGATTGGAGGTCACGGCGATGGATTGGAGGTCACGGCGGTGGATTGGAGGTCACAGCGGTGGATTGGAGGTCACAGCGGTGGATTGGAGGTCACTGCGGTGGATTGGAGGTCACAGCGGTGGATTGGAGGTCACGGCAATGGATTGGAGGTCACGGCGGTGGATTGGAGGTCACGGCGGTGGATTGGAGTTCAGGGCGGTGGATTGGAGGTCACGGCGATGGATTGGAGGTCACGGCGGTGGATTGGAGGTCACGGCGGTGGATTGGAGGTCAGGGCGGTGGATTGGAGGTCACGGCGGTGGATTGGAGGTCAGGGCGGTGGATTGGAGGTCACAGCGATGGATTGGAGGTCACAGCGGTGGATTGGAGGTCACGGCGGTGGATTGGAGGTCAGGGCGGTGGATTGGAGGTCACGGCGATGGATTGGAGGTCACGGCGGTGGATTGGAGGTCACGGCGATGGATTGGAGGTCAGGGCGGTGTATTGGAGGTCAGGGCGGTGTATTGGAGGTCAGGGCGGTGGATTGGAGGTCAGGGCGGTGGATTGGAGGTCAGGGCGGTGGATTGGAGGTCAGGGCGGTGGATTGGAGGTCAGGGCGGTGGATTGGAGGTCAGGGCGGTGGATTGGAGGTCAGGGCGGTGGATTGGAGGTCAGGGCGGTGGATTGGAGGTCAGGGCGGTGGATTGGAGGTCAGGGCGGTGGATTGGAGGTCAGGGCGGTGGATTGGAGGTCACGGCGGTGGATTGGAGGTCACGGCGATGGATTGGAGGTCACAGCGGTGGATTGGAGGTCAGCACGAGAAGCCGAGCAGGAACACAGAACGGGTTGAGGGGCAACGCGGGCGGCGACGAGAGCCGCGGATCAACAAGCGCCGTCGCGCCGCCCCTAGCGGCCACACCACCCACACTGGGCACGCCACCCCCATCGGCCACACCACTGCCAAGGGAGGTCTTCTTGTCCGTGATCTTCATGGTGTCCCGTGTCTCTGTGTCTCTCCTACCAGTGTCTACCCCTATCCCTGCATCTCCTCCCCGTGTCTCCGCATCTCCTCCCCGTGTCTCCGCATCTCCTCCCCGTGTCTCCGCATCTCCTCCCCGTGTCTCCGCATCTCCTCCCCGTGTCTCCGCATCTCCTCCCCGTGTCTCCGCATCTCCTCCCCGTGTCTCCGCATCTCCTCCCCGTGTCTCCGCATCTCCTCCCCGTGTCTCCGCATCTCCTCCCCGTGTCTCCGCATCTCCTCCCCGTGTCTCCGCATCTCCTCCCCGTGTCTCCGCATCTCCTCCCCGTGTCTCCACGTCCGACTCCGCAGGCCCCGTGAGGTGGTGCTGAGCACGCCGGAGGAACCGGCGCAGCGGCGTGGAGCTCAGGCGCCGTACCTCCTCCTCCAGGTCGTCCAGCAGCTGAAGCACCAGCGCACTCTCTGTCACACACACGCACACACCACCACCACCACCACAAGACCCGCCGTTCGCCACCAATAAGTGGCGGTGACGTCGCCGCCACAGCGCTCGTGCCAGGCTCTGTGCACTTTATGGCCACGTGAAGTGTCGAACGCTCGCTGGCAGGAGGTCACAGTACAGACGCAGGTGCCATGGGTTGACCGACTGAGATGCCTGGCGAATGCACCACCTGTGCCCCCCCCCCCCCCCCCCCACTGTGCCAACTCGCTACGTTGCTGGAGGGCGACTGCCTCTAACTGCCCCAGCAGCATCGTTCATGAGCCTCCAGAGGCCGATCTTGACACCGCTGCTACCAGTCATTGGCAAGTCCACTCGGCTCCATATCCACTCGTACCACATCATTCCACGTAGCCGGCACGTATGGCACGTACGTACATACAGCAACAACCACAACAGCTGCCATTCGCCACTGTAATGTGCACATCGCTCTCGTAGACGATTTTAGGTGCGAAGAGAAACCACAGACGAGAGGGGAAGGCAGCAGCGGCCACGCAATTAACCGGCACTGCCTCGCCTGGTTTACAGGAGGTCGTGGGTTCGATCCCGGCCATGACGCCTGCTGCTGTATATTTAGAGTTTGCGTGTCTCTCTCTCATCATCATCATCACGGTGGCTAGGAGATGTTAACTACCTCGCCTGGTGTACAGGAGGTCGTGGGTTCGATCCCGACCCTGACGCCTGCTGCTGTATATTTAGAGTTTGCGTGTTTCTCTCTCATCATCATCATCACGGTGGCTAGGAGATGTTAACTACCTCGCCTGGTATACAGGAGGCGGTGGGTTCGATCCCGACCCTGACGCCTGCTGCTGTATATTTGGAGTTTGCGTCTCTCTCTCTCATCATCATCACGGTGGCTAGGAGATGTTAACTACCTCGTCTGGTATGCAGGAGGTCGTGGGTTCGATCCCGACCCTGACGATGCCTGCTGCTGTATATTTGGAGTTTGCGTGTCGTGTGGATTTTTCTCCGGGTCCTCCGGGTTTTCCCTCCGCATTTAGAATTGACATCTCGCGTTCAGAGGACTTCGCTACCACGAAAATTTTCACGTGAGAAGCCACTTGGTTGAGCGATCATTTGTGACAGTCGGACTGTCGCTTCTGAAAAGGAGCTGGAGTACATATCGCTCAGTGTGGGCTCTGACATGGTAAAAATAAAAAGTTAAAAGATTTGATTTTCGATTTAAAGCTTTCGTGACTGCAGGGATTCATGTTCTTGGTTCTTTCGGTAAAGTCATGTAGAAGGGAAATAATAAAATAATAAAATAAAACAATAAAATTCTCACGACGTTTCGATTGCAACACAAGAAATCATCATCAGGTATGAAAACCACAGCAAGAATTTTTTTTTCACCGCCACTTTTTTCAAATATTTCTTGCTGTGGTTTTCCCACCTGATGATGATTGCTCGTGTTGCAATCGAAACGTCGTGAGAATTTTATTGTTAAATTTTTATTTTAAAAGTTTTAGTGTCTATCTCTCTGCACCCACCTTTGGCGTTGATGGGGGGCGGTGGTCCCGTCTTGAAGGCCGACGCCAGGTACTTGTAGACACAGCCCAGGCTCAGGGTCTCACCCCTCTCCTGCTCCTCCTGCTGCTGCGCTCCCCGCGGGGAGCGGTCGGGGGGGTGCAGCAGCGGCTCGGCCGTAGCGGGGGTCGGGGAAACCCCGGGGGAGCGGGGGTTGAGGGAGGGAGACCCCAGCTGGTGAGTTTCAAGATCGCCGATCGTGAAAACCTGGAGAACACACGCACAGAGAGGGAGAGAGACGGAAAAGGTCCTTGGTAAGGGCGCGCCTCAACATGCGTCTGGAGTTGTGTCGTTTAAAAAACTCCAGAACTCACCAACTGCAGGGATTCATATTCTTGGTTCTTTTGGTAAAGTCACGTAGAAGGGAAATAATAAAATAAAAAATATATAAAACAATAAAAATATTAAAGAATAATTTTTTATTTTTGTTATTTTATAATTTCCCTTCTACGTGACTTTACCAAAAGAACCAAGAATATCTCCTAGCCACCTTGATGATGATGGTGAGAGAGACACAAACTACACATATAGAGCAGGCGTCAGGGTCGGGATCGAACCCACGACCTCCTGCATACCAGACGAGGTAGTTAACATCTCCTAGCCACAGTGGCACGATATTAATTCCCCGAGGGCACAAATATTTACGTGAAACGCTGCTGCTATTGGTGGAACAGGTAATTTGGAGAAACCATACCTGTCAACCCCTAATCAGCGCCCTACCTTATTACAGACCAATTCAGACCTTATTGGTCACCCCGTGCCCTTATACATCTCAACGTTCATCTTACAAAGTCCCATCGCAAGGGAGAAACACAAACAAATAGACAATTTTTGGTTGCCCGTATTGAAACAGCTGTATGCTGAGTGGACCCAAAAACTCGATTTCCACTGTGCAAGAATACAGGTAAACCGTATGGGTTGACAGGGACGTGAAACCAGCGATATTAATTTCTCAGTTCAGCTCACGAAGGAGAGCTGAAGCTTCTGTCGACACACCTGATGACGCTGCCTGTAGTATGCAGTGAAACGTTGAAACATCCCGGTCTGCCGGGAAACCAAATCGGTTGGCCCATTTACCCACGTGACCGCACCTTGGCAATGTACGGTGCCAAAGACGTTCAACGTACAATTCATGCAGGTGTAGGGGATCTGCGAGCCATCATCACGCACCACGCAGACATGAACTCTCCGCACTCGGCGTAGTGCACACCAATCGCACGCACGGGAATACACTGGACGGGGGGTCAAGGGTTAAAGGGCGCTGACGTCACACGGACTCGGCGTGCGAGACGGAGATGTGTGTTGGGAATGAGGGCGGAAATGGAGGGTTTCAAGTGGCTGTGAGACACTCTTTGGTTCTTTCGGTAAAGTCACGGAGGTATAAAATACAGCAGCCCTCTTGCCCACCCACTTCAGCAGTTGTTTCCTGCTGTGGTTGTCCCACCTGATGACGGACGCTTGTGTTGCGCCTGAAACGTCGTGATTTATTTTATTTTATACCCACGTGACTTTACCGAAAGAACCAAAGAGTACGGATCCCTGCAGTCACGAAAACTTCAAATCTCGATTGGGCTGTGAGGGGTTGGTATTAGGAACGAGTGTGGCTGTGGTTTAAAGAATAAAGAAGCCTTCAATCAGTCTCCGACGCCTCTTCACAGGTACTCATTCAAGGCTTAATCGGCCTTGGGGACGACCCAGCACCAGGGTTCTGATGTTCGCTGTCACCGATGTTGGCCGTGAGAGGGAATTGAACTTGGGTCGTCAGGTTCGTACCGCAGTGTGCTAACCACCCGCGTCTACCCGCGTCCCCTCCGTGTCTCCCTGTGCCTCCCCGTGTCTCCCTGTGTCCCCATGTCTCCACATGTCTCCCCATGTCCCCTCCGTGTCTCCCGGCATCTCCCCACAAACCCCCCCCCCCCCCCCATCTGCGTCTCACCACGTCCTCCCGTGTCCCCCCACGTGTCTCACAGTGGAGGGTTCCTCACCTGCGTGAACGCGGTCGAAGTGGTGTCCACCACGGAGCCCGAGGCCCGCTCAGCCACCTCGATCCACCGCTGCAACGGGACACGGAGACCGCACCCTGTGGCAACCGGAAGCTAAGGGCTCGATTGATGGCAATGACGACTGAAATAATTTAATACATTTCAGTATTCCTGCCATCATTCTTCTATTTCGATTTAAAGCTTTCGTGACTGCAGGGATTCATCTTCTTGGTTCTTTCGGTAAAGTCACGTAGAAGGGAAGTAATAAAATAATAAAAATAAAACATAATAAAATAAAATAATTTTTATTATGTTTTATTTTATAAAATAAAATAATTTTTATTATGTTTTATTTTTATTATTTTATTACTTCCCTTCTACGTGACTTTACCGAAAGAACTAAGAAGATCATTCTTCTACTTTATCGCTCATCGGATTCCTCCAGTATAAATATTATGTTGATGCTGCTGTTAATGATGATGACGAGGATGATGCTGCTACTGATAAACTCTTTTATTTTTATTTTAACAGGTAAGGCTCACTGAGCTATAGAGTTCTTTTTTCAGAAGTGACCTGGCCACAAATAATAGCTCAACTAAACGGCTTATCATGGTGTGGAAGTTTATATCGGCCAAATACTCGAAACACGTGTTGCTGATTCGACATGTGGAGGGAAAATCCAGAGATCCTGGTGAAAAATCCACTCGACCACAGGAAGAGAGAGAGAGAGAGACACGCAAACTCCAAATATACAGCAGCAGGCGTCAGAGTTGGGATCGAACCCACGACCTCCTGTATACCAGGCGAGGGAGATGACATCTCCTCGCCACCACGGCGTCATAGGTGGGAAACGCGTTACGATTGTGGGCTAAAAGGGGAGCTATCCGAATGGGTGCGACTGGGCTGGGTGGAGGCTCAGCGGTAGAGTGGGGTGCCTTGTGGGATCGTATGTGTTTGGGTGATTTGTTGACCTTTCTTGAACTTTGCAGTCCTATCGTATTTTGTGTTGTGTTTGTCGTTGTGACGTTCTTACCCCGTGCCCCCGACTGGACATCTGTGAAAAGAGAGCTCCGTAGCTGACCGGATTCCTCCTCCAGTATAAATAAATACAGTAAAACCTTGCATTGCAAGTAACTTGGTCTGCGAGTGTTTTGCAAGACGAGAAAAATGTTAAAGTAAATATTAATTTGATAAACGAGCGAGGTCTTGCAATACGAGTAGTACGTGTAGTATACACTTTGTCTGCCGAGCGTCACGTGATCACAACTGATATACGAGTGAATTTATATTTAAAGCTTTCGTGACTGCAGGGATTCATCTTCTTGGTTCTTTCGGTAAACCAGGTCCGTCGAGGCGACAGAGTCTGAATGAAACAGCACACGAGCTTGGAGCATATATATAAGCTGGGCGCCTTGACAAAGGAATTTGCATATCAAGAGAAATGTAGCATATTTATGGGAAATGCAGGAATGTGATTAGTACTACATATGCATGTGCATTATGCAGGATTAACAGCATCAAAGGGAGCTGCAGTTGCTGCTGCTGCTGCAGTTGCTGCTGCTGCAGTTGCTGCTGCTGCAGTTGCTGCTGCTGCAGTTACTGCTGCTGCAGTTACTGCTGCTTCTGCAGCTACTGCTGCTACTGCAGTTTCTGCTGCTACTGCAGTTACTGCTGCTGCAGTTACTGCTGCTGCTGCAGTTTCTGCTGCTGCTGCAGTTTCTGCTGCTGCTGCAGTTGCTGCTGCTGCAGTTTCTGCTGCTGCTGCAGTTTCTGCTGCTGCTGCAGTTGCTGCTGCTGCTGCAGTTTCTGCTGCTGCTGCAGTTGCTGCTGCTGCAGTTGCTGCTGCTGCTGCAGTTGCTGCTACTGTTGCAGTTGCTGCCTTATCCATTTTAATATAACACTATGTATTATTCTACCCACCCTAATGTGTATCACACTGCTATATATTTACTATACAATTATGACACCATACATTACTCTGCACACTGCACCATGCCAGTGAGTGGAACGCGGTCTGAAAGTCACCATAAACGTGAACACAATCAGTTAAGATCCGAAATGGTTTATTACATCCTTCCAATGATTGCTAAGTCAGAATCCATCTTCTCGGTTGAAATTGTCTCTGTGTTTGTATATGTGGATCGCCTCATGAACGAATCTCTCATGATAGCCAGATGGCTTGCAGAGAACCTCTGTCTTGGAGAAGTCAATGTCATGTGAGCCCACTGAATTCACTCACATGACATTGACTTCTCCAAGACAGAGGTTCTCTGCAAGCCATTTGGCTACCATGAGAGATTCGTTCATGAGGCGATCCACATATACAAACACAGAGACAATTTCAACCGAGAAGATGGATTCTGGCTTAGCAATCATTGCAAGGACGTAATAAACCATTTTGGATCTTAACTGATTGTGTTCACGTTTACGGTGACTTTCAGACCGCGTTCCACTCACTGGCATGGTGCAGTGTGCAGAGTAATGTATGGTGTCGTAATTGTATAGTAAATATATAGCAGTGTGATACACATTAGGGTGGGTAGAATAATACATAGTGTTATATTAAAATGGATAAGGCAGCAACTGCAACAGCAGCAGCAACTGCAGCAGCAGCAACTGCAGCAGCAGCAGCAACTGCAGCAGCAACTGCAGCAGCAGCAGAAACTGCAGCAGCAGCAGAAACTGCAGTAGCAGCAGTAGCTGCAGAAGTAGCAGTAACTGCAGCAGCAGCAACTGCAGCAGCAGCAACTGCAGCAGAAGCAACTGCAGCAGCAGCAACTGCAGCAGCAGCAGCAACTGCATCTCCCTTTGATGCTGTTAATCCTGCATAATGCACATGCATATGTAGTACTAATCACATTCCTGCATTTCCCATAAATATGCTAAATTCCTCTTGATATGCAAATTCCTTTGTCAAGGCGCCCAGCTTATATATATGCTCCAAGCTCGTGTGCTGTTTCATTCAGACTCTGTCGCCTCGACGGACCTGGTTTTCACCTGAGGACGGCTGCTTGCGTTATGGCCGAAACGTCGTGAGATTAATTTTATTATGTTTTATTTTTATTATTTTATTACTTCCCTTCTACGTGACTTTACCGAAAGAACCAAGAAGATGAATCCCTGCAGTCACGAAAGCTTTAAATCGAAATTCCTTTCGGTAAAGTCGTCACGTAGAAGGGAAATAATAAAAATAAAACATAATAAAATACAATTCTCACGACGTTTCGGCCACAACGCAAGCAGCCGTCCTCAGGTGAAGAACAGGTCTGTCGGAAAGACAGCGTCTGAATGACGTCGTGAGAATTGTATTTTATAATGTTTTATTTTTATTATTTTATTATTTCCCTTCTACGTGACTTTACCGAAAGAACCAAGAAGATGATATACGAATATACGAGTGCTTTGGATTACAAACACGTTTCCGGAACGAATTATGCTCGCAATCCAAGGTTTTACCGAATTCTGATTCTCCGATTCTGAACCCACGACCTCCAGCATACCGGGGCGAGCCACTTCACACCTCGCCACCGCGTCGATCTGCTCTCCCCTCACTCACATCCAGTGGCGATCTTCTCTCCTCATCCACCTCCTCGTCGTCGTCATCACCGCCCCCTCCACACCACTGCCACCACCGCGACCCCGGTCCGCGCTTGAGCAGGAAGGCCTCCAGCTGGGCGTGGGTGCGGCCGGGCAGGGAGCAGCCGATCGCCGCTGCGAGGCTCCCGGGGCTGGCGGGGGCCTCGCCGCGACGCTGGCGGAGAGCCCGGAGGATGTCGCGCTTCTCCCGGCGGAGCCACGCTCGGGGACGGGAGACGCCGCCGCCGCCGCTGCGCCCTCGCGCCCCGCTGTCGATGATGAATCGCGAAGGGGCCGAACGCTGCCGGCTTGGGGGCTTCATGGCTGCGGCACCGAAGCCACGACCCACAACACAATTCACAGCAAACCCTACAACAACCAACACCACACCCTGCAACAACCAACACCACACCCTACAACAACCAACACCACACCCTACAACAACCAACACCACACACCACACTCTACAGGCCTACAACAACCAACACCACGCACCACACCCTACAACAACCAACACCACACCCCACACTCTACAGGCCGACAACAACCAACACCACACACCACACCCTACAACAACCAACACCACACCCCACACTCTACAGGCCGACAACAACCAACACCACACACCACACCCTACAACAACCAACACCACACCCCACACTCTACAGGCCGACAACAACCAACACCACACACCACACCCTACAACAACCAACATTATTGGGGGGGACACATCCCCCCCAATATTCAAATGTTCAAAATGTCCCCCCCAATATATTGCTATAAACAATATAAAACAAAAATTCTATGCTATGTAAATAAAAACTAAAATTTGCTAAAACTTGGCCACAATATCTTGACTTCTCATCATAAAACAATGCATAGATTTAAGTGATTGTGGTTATGATTGTACTTCATAAATCCCTAATCTCTGTAATTACATACAATGAAACAAGAAAAGAAAAAAAAACAGAGCAATGTAATACAATACGCTATTTGACATTATTGTTAAAGAAAAGTCCATCTCATGTGTTAGTGAATTTTTTTATATTTTCGGTAGGAAATTTGTTTTCAAATTTAGATTTTTTTTCTGGGGGGGGGGGGCCTAGACCCCCTGGAAGATTTGGTCCCCCCCAATGTTGACTCCACGGCTACAGCCTTGCCACACACATACCCTATACAAACCAACACCACACACACACCCTACAACACCACACACACCCCCTACAACACCACACACACCCTACAAACAAAGATCCCCCGTATAGCCTTAACAGACTGTAGGGGCAAGTGCTGTTAGCGAGCACCTATGAAGGCCAGAACGGTACACGAGGGGGTGGGTGGCCAGCACCACGCCCGACCGCCTTTGTCTCCCTAGTGACGATGTTTACACACCGCACCAGGTACTCATTTAAGGCTGAGTCGACCTAGGGGAGGCCCAGGACCGGTTCAGATAATCGTCACTGGTGTTAGCCGTGAGCGGGAATCGAACCCGGGTCGCTAGGTTCATAGCGCAGCGCGCTAACCGCTACACTACCGCTCCCCACTACACACCCTACAACAACCAACACCACACACCACACCCTACAACAACCAACACCACACACACCCTACAACAACCAACATCACGCACACCCTACATAACAACAACCGCCGATCGTCACCGAGCGGTGGCGGTGACGTCGCCACGGCGCTCGTGCCAGGCTGGGTGCACGTTACGGCCACAGGGAAGTGTCGAAAGGCCGCTTGGCAGGAGGTCACGGCAGACCCGGGTGATGCCATGGGTTGACATACAGACAAAGATCCCCCATATAGCCTTAACAGACTGTTGGGGAAAGTGCTGTTAGCGAGCACCAATTAAGGCTGGTACGGCACACGGGGGGGTGGGTGGCCACCACCACGCCCGGACGCCTTTGTCTCCCCAGTGGAGATGTTTACACACCAGATACATATTTGAGGCTGAATCGACCTAGGGGAGACCCAGGACCGGTACAAATAATCGTCACTGGTGTTCACCGTGAGCGAGAATGGAACTCGGCTCGCCGGGTTCGTAGTGCAGCATAACGCGAACCACTACAACCACACACCCCCACACACACCCACACACAACTACACACACACCCCCACAACTACACACACACCCACACACAACTACACACACCCACATACACCCACAACTACACACACATCCACAACTACACACACACACCCACAACTACACACACATCCACAACTACACACACACACCCACAACTACACACCCCCACAACTACAGACACACCCACACAAAACTACACACACACCCACACACAACTACACACACACATCCACACACAACTACACACACACATCCACACACAACTACACACACCCACATACACCCACAACTACACACACACCCACACACAACTACACACCCCCCCCCACAACTCCACACACACCCACACACAACCACACACCCCCACACACCCACAACTACACACACATCCACAACTACACACACAACTACACACACACCCACACACACCCACACACACACCCACACACACCCCCACACACACCCACAACTACACACACACCCCCACACACCCCCACAACTACACACACACCCACAACTACACACCCCCACACACAACTACACACACACCCACACAACTACACCCCCCCACAACTACACACCCACAACTACACAACAACAACCGCCATTCGCCACTAAGTGGCGGTGACGTCACCACGACGCTTGTGCCAGGCCATGTGCACCTTGAGGCCACGTGAAGTGTCGAATGCCCGCTGGCAGGAGGTCACGGGGCAGACCCAGGTGCCACAGGTCGACTGACTGAGATGACCGAGATGACTGGCTGATGCACTACCTGTGCCCCCTACTGTGCCAACTTGCTGTGCTTTAGCCACCCGGCGCTCCGCTCGTTGTTGTGAGCGTCGCTCCTCCGCCCTCCGTTGTTGTTGGAGGGCGACTGCCTCCAACTGCCCAGTAGCGTCCTTCACGAGCCTCCTCCACAGAGGCTGATCTTGACACCGCTGGTACCAGTCATCGGCAAGTCCACTCAGCTCCACGTCCTGCTGTACCACATCACTCCATCTCTTCTCTAGCCCGTGCCGCGCCCGTTTAGCCCCCTCGATCCGGCTGAACAAAAGCTGTTTAGGCATGCGGTGGCTGGGCATGCGGGCTACATGACCCAGCCAACGCAGCCTTGCCTGTCGGAGGAGCTCACCAATGGGACTTTGCCCAGATCTTTCAAGGATTTGTGAGCTCCTCACACAATCCAGCCTGGTTAAACCCAGGATGGATCGTAGGCAGGCCAGCCTAAATGTTTCCAACCGGCGAAGATGCTCCATTAGGGGGGTCCACGTTTTGCAAGCGTAGAGAAGGGAGGGAATGACTGTGGCCGAGAAGACCTGAAGCTTCGTGCGGAGCGACAGACCAGGTAGCTTCCACACAGCGTTACGCAACTGATGAAAAGATATTGCCGCTCGACTGATTCGGAGTGAGACCTCTGCTGTTAAACTGGAGCCGGTCATAAGCACACTGCCCAGGTATGGGAAACTCTCTACTCTCTCCACTACTGCCCCATCACCGAATGGGAGTTGTGGGGGTGGAGTGTCCGATGGTACAAAATACCCAGGCAGGTGCTTAGTTTTGGTGGGGCTGATGGTAAGGCCCCACCACTTAGTGGCACGCTCTAGTCTCAGCAGCAGCATCTCCAACTCCTCCTCTGAATGAGCAGCTATTACCAAATCATCGGCATACATAACGTGGTTGACCAATAGGGAGCCATCCCTTGATCACACCCGGGCATCGATCAGCCTCCAATTATATTTGTACCAAATAGAAATCCCCCGGTACAGCTATTCCAAGGCCTCACAAACTACGTGGTCAAAATAGATGTTAAATAATGTGGGAGCCAGAGGACATCCCTGTCGCACCCCAAGGTGTACAGGGAAAGTCTCTGACTCCCGGCCACGTAGTTTTACCCGGGCCCGCTCACCATCATGAAGGTCCTTAATGATCGTGAGTAGAGGGTCAGGGACTCCGAAAGCATGAAGAACAACCCAGAGCCCAGGCCTACTGATGGTATCATAGGCCTTGACCAGGTCAATAAAGCAGAGATGTAGGTCTTGTTGGAATTCCCTACACATCTGCTGTAGCAGACGGACAGAAAATATGGCATCTGTGCAGGACCGCCCTTTCCTGAAACCGCATTGGGGTTCCGAAAGCCTCTCCTCAGCATGCCTAGCAAGGCAATGTTGAATAATCCTTGCCAGGACCTTTCCCGGCACACTGAGGAGTGAGATGCCCCTGTAGTTGTTACAGTCTGTGCGGTCCCCCTTCTTAAAGAGGGGGACCACCAGGGCATCCTTCCAATCCTGCGGAACCCGTCCAGTGGTCCAGACTGTTGTTATGATGTCGTATAGGGCAGTCTGTGCACAAACGCCACCCTCCCTCAGCATTTCGCTTGGAAGATCATCTCTGCCCGGTGCCTTTTATGGTCTCAGACTCCGGATCGCCTTCAGTACTTCCTCAACAGATGGCACCTCAGCCAGCCACTCATAGGGGGTGACTTCTTCCAATATTTGAGGCACCGCAGCCTCAGCAGGGTTATCCCCACTTTGTGCCATGATGTTTTCCTGGCTGAGGGATTTCCCCTCCCCCAGGACCTCACAGAAATGCTCAGCAAATCTGCAAACCTGTTCCTGGGGGTCGGAGATTGGATCACTGTTTTTCCCCTAATGATGGTAATAGGTGTGGCGCTGCAGGTTACTTTTTTGATGGAGTTAAATAGTGATTTGTGATCGCGGGCCACTGAGGCAGAATCCATCTCCTCAGCAACCCGTGACCACCACCCATCCTTGCAGCGTCTTACGGCTCTCCGAACCTCCGAGCGAAGACTGCGGTAATCTTCCTCATTCTCTGACGTGGGATGCTGTAGCCGATTAGAGTGGGCCTGTCGCTTTTTCTCAACTATTCTGAACACCTCCTCTGTCAGCCAGAGTTTCTGGGGAGGTCTGGACCGCGTACTCAAAGCAGCCACTGCAGCTGCATGAGTCACAGTCCTCAACCTCGCCCATTTACCCTCGACATCAGGAGGAGTGGGGGACGATGCCAACCCCAGCTGCAAGCGATGATGAAATTCTCGCTTGCAACTTTCATCAGCTAACTGAGACCAGGCCACTTTAGGTTGGAATTGGGTCCTGGGTGTACACCCACTACCGGAGTGGAAGAATGGCAGGCGCATCTTACAGATGACTAGTCGATGGTCAGAGGGCAGATCAGCTCCACGGTAGGTCCTGGTGTCAAGGACATGGGCTCGAATCCGCTGGTCCGTCACTACGTAGTCCAGCAGATGTTCTTGCTTGGACCCGGCATGCATCCATGATGTTGTGTGGATGCGCCGATGCCGGAAGAGCGTGTTGGTAATTAAAAGCCCATGGGCTGCACAAAAATCTAGCAGCCTCCTGCCGTTGTTATTGAGCTGATCTGGCCCATGCCTTCCAATCACTCCAGACCAGGTGCCAGCATCATGACCAACTCGGGCATTGAAGTCCCCCAACAAGATGACTCTGTCCCGAGTGGCCACTTTAGCCAGCACCTGTGACAGGAGGTCATAGAAAGCGTCTGACTCATCGGCTTTGCCTGCATCCCTCCACTGATGTTCGTCTTCTGTGGGGGCATAAGTAACCACGACCACCACTCCACACACACCCACACAACTACACACACACACAACTACACACACACACAACTACACACACACACAACTACACACACCCACAACTACACAACCACGAAAAAACAAAGATAAAGATCCCCCATATAAACATAACAGACTATTGGGGCAAGTGCTGTTAGCGAGCACCTATGAAGGCCACCCACATGTTACCCCCAGTCACCCCCCACGTGACCCCCACTCACCCCCACGTGACCCACAGTCACCCCCCACGTGACCCCCACTCACCCCCACGTGACCCCCACTCACCTCCACGTGACCCCCACTCACCCCCACGTGACCCCCACTCACCTCCACGTGACCCCCGCACGTTAAAGACCTCGGGACGTTTCACGTCTCCACGAACCACCTCGCCGCGTTAAGCCGCTTGGGGAATCGAATCGATGTTCGGTATCGGGGTTCGTGTACGAGCGGGGAATAATCGATTCGTTTAAACGCACTGCGGGCTATGGGATTGGAAATCGATTCCTTTAATGAGAAGTTTCGATTCCGATTTATAGGCTCGCGTCTCTTCCGAGGCCGGGCGAAAGGCGTCCGGTGACGTCACTCCGTAAGGGTGACATGACGTCATCGCCCGATGCGTGTCTGACGCAATTACGTCACTCACTAAATGATAAACTAAAACTATCTATAGTTTTCTGGTTAGATTTCTGTTGCTATTTCTTTTATACCTGATGATGATTGCTTGTGTTGCAGTCGAAACGTCGTATTATGCTATTATTTAATTTATTATTTTATCTTTATACGTGACTTTACCGAAAGAACCAAAGAATAAAACTAATTTTTAAATCTTTTTTTAGTCTTACCTGGAGATTTTTTGCGGAGATTTTTCTCAGACGCGACCCGGTTATCACAAAGTATGGCCCAACGAAGTGAACTTATCATCATCATCATCACGTGGAAACTTATAGCAGCTCTAAGGGGACGTCCATAAATGACGTCACGCGATTTTGGGCGATTTTTGCCCCCCCCCCTCGTCACACGGCGTCACAAGAAGTCAGACCCCCCCCTCAAATATGACGTCACAAAGCTCTGCCCCCCCCCACCCCCAATAAAACATGCGTCAAATCGCTTTAAACTATTGTCATTGCAGTGCGTGTTTAATGTGGCGCTGCACTCTGATGCTGTAGGAGAAAACATTTATTACAAAGTCTATTTAATTAGGTAATGGAGGGGGGTGGTAGAGGGGGGGGGGTGGAGGGGCGGGGGGGTGGAGAAGGGGGTGGAGGGGGGGGTGGTGGAGGGGGTGGTAGAGGGGGGGGTGGAGGGGGGGTGGGGGGCGGGGTAGTTGAGAGGGGTGAAGGGGCGGGGTGGTGGGGGGGGTGAAGGGGAGGGGGGGTGGTGGAGGGGGTGGTAGGGGCGGGGTGGAGGGGGGGGTGGTGGAGGGGGGGTGGAGGGGCGGGGTGGAGGGGGGAGGGGGTGGTGGAGGGGTGAAGGGGCGGGGTAGTGGGGGGGGTGGAGGGGCGGGGTGGTGGAGGGGCGGGGTGGAGGGGGGTGGTGGAGGGGGGGTGGAGGGGCGGGGTGGAGGGGCGGGGTGGTGGAGGGGGGGGGTGGAGGGGTGAAGGGGTGAAGGGGTGGGGTGGTGGAGGGGCGGGGTGGTGGAGGGGTGGTGGAGGGGGGGTGAAGGGGCGGGGTGGTGGAGGGGGGGGTGGAGGGGTGAAGGGGCGGGGTGGTGGAGGGGCGGGGTGGTGGAGGGGTGGTGGGGTGGAGGGGCGGGGTGGAGGGGGGAGGGGGGTGGTGGGGTGGAGGGGCGGGGTGGAGGGGGGAGGGGGGTGGTGAGGGGGGGTGGAGGGGCGGGGTGGAGGGGGGAGGGGGGTGGTGAGGGGGGGTGAAGGGGCGGGGTGGTGGAGGGGGGGGGTGGTGGAGGGGTGGTGGGGGGGGGGGTGGAGGGGCGGGGTGGAGGGGGGAGGGGGGTGGTGGGGTAGAGGGGCGGGGTGGAGGGGGGTGGTGAGGGGGGGTGGTGGGGCGGGTTTCCTGTCTCCTCGCTACTTCACTTCCGGCCCGCAGGCAAACCCGGAAGAGACTCCCCGTCATGGCCGCCTGGTGGTTGTCGCCGCTGCTGCCGCTGCTGCTGCTGCTGGCGGGTGAGGGAGCAAGGCAGTGGCCGGGTGTCTCTGAGACCCTCTCCCCCTCTCTCTCGTTGTCTCTCCCGTGTCTCTCCCACACCCCCGTGTCTCTCAGGCTTCCCCTGTTGTCCATAACCGTGCGTCGACCCACACGGTTCCTCCCCCCCCCCCGTGTTGTTGCACGAGTTCGCGGCTCCGTGCCGGCGTGCCGCGTCGTGTGTGTTTGTGTTGAGATGCATATCGGGCACGGGGTGCATACTCTTGGGTTGTTTCGGTAAAGTTACGTGGGTACAAAATAAAACAAAGTGAACTAAATGACGACGTTTCGGGCGCAACACAAGCAAAGGGGATATATAGGTAAGAGAGGGCCCCCCCCCCCCCGTCTCTAACCTATATGGCCTCTTGTTGCAGCAGCCCCTTTTGCCCACTTCAGCAATTGTTTCTTGCTGTGGTTGTCCCACCTGGTGACGGACGCTTGTGTTGCGCCCGAAACGTCGTGATTTAATTTAATTTGTTTTATTTTACACCCACGTGACTTTACCGAAAGAACCAAAGAGAATGGATCCCGGCAGTCACGAAAACTTCAAATCTAGATTGGGCACGGGGTGACCAATGAGGTCTGAATTGGTCTGTATTACGGCAGGGCACTGATAATGGATTGACAGATCTATAGTGGTGAGTGTAGTAGTGGTGAGTGTAGTAGTGGTGATTGTCTATTGTGTTTCCCCCTTGTGATGGCACTCTGTAGGATGAACGTTGAGATTTGTAAGTGCACGGAGTGCCCAATACGGTGTGAATTGGTCTGTAATAGGTAGGGCACTGATAAGGGATTGACAGATCTATAGTGGTGAGTGTAGTAGTAGTGGTGATTGTCTATTGTGTTTCCCCCTTGTGATGGCACTCTGTAGGATAAACGTTGAGATTTCTAAGTGCACGGAGTAACCAATACGGCGTGAATTGGTCTGTAATACGGCAGGGCACTGATGAGGGTTTGACAGGTTTGTGTATCTCCCCATGGTGGCGAGATGTGAACTACCTCGCCTGGTACACGGAAGGTCGTGGGTTCGATGCCACTACGGACGAGCCACCACCCAGCCCAGCCGCATCCATTCCATTAGCAACCCCCTTGCCTCCCTGCCTTAGCCCGCAATCGTAACGAGTCTCTCACCAAGGGCGGTTTGTCACACGATGCGACGCAAGGAAGCACGGGAGACGCGGGGAGACGCGGTGAGAGCCAGGGAAAAGGCCCGCGAGACATGTGGGGAGACAGGGCGATAGGACAGCAGGACACGGTGATGGTAAGACACGGGGAGAAGGGAGACGCTGGATGCCTGGGTGATGCACGGCGAGAGACGCTGAGACACGGGAGATAAGGGGGACGTTCATTAAGACACGGCGAGACTTGGGGGAGACAGGGCGATCAGACGGTGAGACACGGGACACAGACACGGTGATAGACGGCGAAATACGTGTAAGCCACGGTCAGACAGGGATACAAGACGATGCAGGAAGAGACTCAGTGATGTACAGTGATAGACGGTGAGGCAGTGAGAGGCCACACTTTTTCAGTTTCATTTATTTGGTAGAGCCCTGTGAGCCATTCGGCTCTTGAATCGGGCGCAACCGCAACAAACAAAAACATGAACAAGAAAACATCTTAAAGTGACTACGCGCAAACAGAAAAATCCAGGAAAAAACAGCAAAAGTCTTCCAGAAAAAGCCACCGTATATCAATGCTGTGTGCAAAAATCCCAGTGGGATGCAAGTCAAACAATAACAACCATAAGACAATTTAGATTATAGTTATCAGTCTGAGCTATGTAGCTCCTTTTCAGAAGCGACCTGGCCGCACATGATGGCTCAGCGAAGTGGCTTTTCATCTTCGTGTGGAAATGTATAGCAGCAGGCAAACACTCCCAAACCCGTGACCTTGATTCCACGCGACCACGGGGAGAGGCACATGCAAACTCCAACTATACAGCAGGCGTCAGGGTCGGGATCGAACCCACGACCTCCTGCATACCAGGCGAGGTAGTTAACATCTATTCACAGTGATGATGAGAGAGAGAGACGCAAACTCCAAATATACAGCAGGCGTCAGGATCGGGATCGAACCCACGACCTCCTGCATACCAGGCGAGGTAGTTAACATCTATTCACAGTGATGATGAGAGAGAGAGACGCAAACTCCAAATATACAGCAGGCGTCAGGATCGGGATCGAACCCACGACCTCCTGCATACCAGGGCAAGGGAGTTGACATCTCCTAGTCCCCGTAATTATGATGATGAGAGAGAGACGACAACTCAAAACATACAGCAGGTGTCAGGGTCAGGATCGAACCCACGACCTGCATACCAGGCGAGGGAGTTAACATCTCCTAGAAAAATCGGTGTCCTCCCCCCAACTCACATCAGCCTTTCACCTCCAGTGCCATTGTTTGACGGCACGCCGCAGTGTTTCGCGTTTGACACCACGTGGAGGGGAGAGGTTAATTGTGCAAGTTGGCAGAGGGTGTGTGGAGCGCTGGAGTGCCGGGTGCCTCTTCTGTCGGGCATCTCAGTTAACCCGGAGCATCTGCGGGTCTGTCCCATGACCTCCCGGCAAGACGAGGCTCTAAGAAAAGCTGTCTCGGGTGTGGACCGATCAATTTCAAGGACAGTGCATACATTATCAGAGTTGTGTTTTTTGTTTGCATTCCAACCGCAGGTATTGAGGTCAATGCAAACATGACTCCTTGTAAAAAAGGTGTCAGTTTTGTTGCCAGATAAAAGGGTAGGAAACCAATTATCATATTTTGCTACTGGCAAAGGAGGTTCCAATGATGTTACAGTAATCAAGTCGAGGAAGTATGGTGGCTTTTATCAATTCCAAATGGAACATAGGGGGGAGGCAATGCTTGTGTTGATACAGAAAACCAATATTGAATTTTGTCTTTTTACCAATATAATCAATGTGATCTTGAAAATTCAGTTTTGAATACTTATATATCTTGACTCGCTCTATTTGATAATTATTTAAGGAATGCAATTGGGGAAAAATAACCTCCTGCTTTAGTCCTGGTGAGAAGCATAGCACCTTGGTTTTGGAGGTATTCAGGACTAGTTTCAGAGCAACTAGCTGATGTAATTTTTTTAAATCACCCTGGAGCTTAGCAATCACGTCATCCAGAGAGCGGCCAGCAGTAATCAATATCGTGTCATCTGTAAACAGATTTACCCTGGAATGATCCAGGTCAGAGCCCAAGTGATTGACACAGAGAGAACAAGAGGGGGCCGAGGATGGAACCCTGCGGAACCCCTTTTGTTATCTTAACACTATCGCCACTCGGGAGACAAAGGCGGCCGGGCGTGGTGCTGGCCACCCACCCCCTTGTGTGCAGTGCCGGCCTTCATAGGTGCTCGCTAACAGCACTTGCCCAAGCAGTCTGTTAAGGCTATACAGGGGATCTTTGTCTCTGACCAAATCGTCCGAAATGCACTTGATCCCGTGATGTTCTGATCTCGTGATGCCTCGTGGACACCAACCAGGGCTGTGCTTGGAGTAGGTTTTTACCCTTTCTGGCAATACAACAGCCGTTGTTAAGATGGTTAAACACCAAAAAGATTCCTGTCGGAAGGGCATTGAGTAGTGGCATTCAACACCTCCCTTTCCCTGGGGACAGACTCCAGCACTACTATACACTATACAACACTATACACTACTATACACTATACACTACTATACACTACTACACTATACACTACTATACTATATACGACTACATTACACTACTACACTATACACTACTACACTATGCACTACTACACTATGCACTACTACACTATGCACTACTACACTACACTATATACACTATATCCTACTATACACTACTACACTATACACTACTACACTATACACTACACTACTATACACTACACTATACACTACACTATACACTCTAGCTCTTCCTGGGGAATTCCCAGACTTTCCCAGGCCAGCCAAGTGAAATAGTCAAGCTTGGGAAAGGCAGCAAGAACAACAACAACAATCCCAGACCACACCAAGATACATGCAACACAGTAGTAGTCCCTCAATAACAAATAATAGATCACGACGTTTCGACCGCAACACAAGCAGTCGTCACGATCGGAACGTCGTGAGAGGGGTGGTGGGTGTGTTGCGGTCGAAACGTCGAGATCTGTTATTTTTCTATCTTGATTTGAAGCTTTCGTGACTGCAGGAATCCATACTCTTTGGTTCTTTCGGTAAAGTCACGTAGGTAGAAAATAAAATCAAATAGATCACGACGTTTCGGGCACAACACAGGTGGGAAAGCATTGACTGCTTTCCCACCTGATGACGGATGCTTGTGATCTATTTTATTTTCTACCTACGTGACTTTACTGAAAGAACCAAAGAGTATGAACTGTACTTGTGTGCCCTCATTTATCTATGTCCCCCCACCTCCAACATTCCGCATTGACCACATGGGTAAAGTAGATTCGAATAACTCCTCTGACATGCACGGAGTGGGGAGGCCCTCTTCCCGCAGTGGACGGATATAAAGACGTGCACTGCACAATGTGTTTGCGTGCGCGTGTGTGTGTGTGTATGTGCAAGCGTGTCTTTGTGGAGAGCGGTGTGGTAGTGTAGCTGTGCTACGAACCCGGCGACCTGGGTTCGATTCACGGCCAACATTATTGACGAATATCTGAACCGGTTCTGGGCCTCCCCTAGGTTGACTCCGTCTCAAATGAGCAGCACCTGGTGCGGTGTGTAAACATCTCCACTGGGGAGACAGACAGCTGGGCATGGTGCTGGCCACCCACCCCCTCTAACACAGTTTCAGCCTTCATAGGTGCTGCTCGCTAACAGCACTTGCCCCAGCAGTCTGTGAGGGCTGTTTAAGAGGGTCTTTAGAGGAGGGTCTCGAACCAAAGAGGATGGATTCCTGCAGTCACGAAAGCTTCATATCAAGGAGGGTTTTTGTCTTGTGTTGTATACTAACCCTTCTTCCATAATTGAGATTAATAATA